AGCTGTGGGTAATTCTCAAACTTTTAGCAACATAAATTACTTGGACTAAAGTACTTCTGTAAAGAAAATACTAAATTACTACAAAAAAATGATTTCTCAGGATTTACCGATTCCCACCAAAGAGTGATTTGCTATTCGGATTTTGCCAGTTAAAATCCGAAACTTCAAGGGCTAAATTTGGTTATGGAAATTGGTCAAAATTTGTATAAATTATATCTTTATTTGATATTGAAGGCCAGGACAGTACCAAATTTGTGCCTACCACCAGATTTTTAAAAATTGTGTCCCAGATTTGGAAATTTATGCAATTATGTTGCGTAAGGTAAAAAAAAGGCAGAAGTCGATCAAAACCATCGATTTCCCCCAGTGGATATTCAATTCAAGAATAAGATTTTATCATTAAAATTTGCTTCAAATAATGCGATTTCCGACGAATTTGAAGCATTAGATCATAAAAGATTTCCCCTTCGGCGGCAACCATGATGCTGCCTCAGGTAGTAACTTTATTCTACCCTAACCTTCCCCTAATCTACGGATGTCGGGGGCGTTCACTGTAAGTATGAAGAAACAGAGACAATATGGAAAGGTATGTCCCCGACCATCAGGAATGCCGTGCATCGGGGATCATCGGGATCATCGCCGACAGGTTACGATTTATTAAAACCAGGCTTTACTTCCTTATCATTGTCACACTTGTTATTTTTCCATTTTCCCATTCTATCTTAAAACTTTTAGGGGACCAAATGCACATATTGTTATACCTATGTAAGCATAGCGGTCAAATCTTTGATTGGCTGAGAGCTCTGTTCGCTGCCATGTTCTAAGCCAATCAGCACACAGGATTCTCACAACAAAACCGCCTCGCAGCTAGAATTAGGCCCATTTTCGCCATTTCAGCGTGTTTTTACCACATTGTCTACAAAAAACATTGCACGCCTCTACAAAGCGAATTTCCACTTTATAGCGTTGTCCAGTCCAGTTCATCATCATGCGTTGCTATTTAACCTATATTGGCGCTACTGTTCGATCGCAAAGAATAATATAAAAAAACACCTCGCAAATGATCGGTAAATTTCGTGTCGAGATTCAGGTTAATTAGGTTTTTACCTCTCCCCACCCAAAACGCTAGAGACATTTCACATTTAGACAAAATCAATTATATACTTACATTAAATATAGGAATGGTTCATAATCCGGTCAAAGATGCACTCACTGTTCAGTCTTAGATTCGGCGGGGATCGCCAATTTAATTATCACAACGGTACGAAGGCTCTCATATTCACCCTCGAAATCAATAAATGTATCTTTGTCCTCTGGAATCAAAATCTGCTTCATAAAAGTGAAAAATTTTCAGCAACAGCCCAAAGTAATTTCAATCATGATTGTCCAGACAATTGACCATTATTACTAATTTTATGTGATGAAAATGGCGAATACACTCACGCGGTAAGACGAAAATGGCGAATTGACGAAAATGCATCCTTGAAATTTTCCCGCCGTTTTCAAATTTTATTAGATCCCAGTCTTACCGCGTGAGTGTATTCGCCATTTTCATCACATAAAATTAGTAATAATGGTCAATTGTCTGGACAATCATGATTGAAATTACTTTGGGCTGTTGCTGAAAATTTTTCACTTTTATGAAGCAGATTTTGATTCCAGAGGACAAAGAAACATTTATTGATTTCGAGGGTGAATATGAGAGCCTTCGTACCGTTGTGATAATTAAATTGGCGATCCCCGCCGAATCTAAGGCTGAACAGTGAGTGCATCTTTGACGGGATTATGAACCATTCCTATATTTAAGGTAAGTATATAATTGATTTTGTCTAAATGTGAAATGTCTATAGCGTTTTGGGTGGGGAGAGGTAAAAACCTAATTAACCTGAATCTCGACACGAAATTTACCGATCATTTGCGAGGTGTTTTTTTATATTATTTTTTGCGATCGAACAGTGGCGCCAATATAGGTTAAATAGCAACGCATGATGATGAACTGGACAAAATATAAAGTGGAAATTGGCTTTGTAGAGGCATGCAATGTTTTTTGTAGACAATGTGGTAAAAACACGCTGAAATGGCGAAAATGGGCCTAATTCTAGCTGCGAGGCGGTTTTGTTGTGAAAATCCTGTGTGCTGATTGGCTTAAAACATGGCAGCGAACAGAGCTCTCAGCCAATCAAAGATTTGACCGCTATGCTACCTATGTATTATTAATGTAGACTGCAGTGAAGATCTGGCCTCATTTTGGTATTCCCGCATAAACATTTTGATATGCCTCGATTGCGAAAAAACTGAAGTCAGGAAGAAGAAGCACACGCTGTCGCGCCGTCGCCATCGAAAACGTGAAGAAGATGCCTTCTAAAAACAAGCCAAATGCTTTTATAGTATACGCGCAGTCAATACGACAGCAGTTGATACGAGAAGGCCATGTGATCAACAATACGGCAGATTTGGTCTCTGCTGCAGGACCGTACTGGAAGGTAAGAAATGAAAACTTTTTTCGTCGTAATAAAAACGAAAGTTGTCATTCTCTCGCTTAGGGGTGGTTGCATTTTTATTGTATGTACGCAAATGAGATATTTCTTGCACAGAATTCCTCTATTAAAGCAAAGTATCCTGATTTGTGGAATTCGCTCTCCCATTTTGAAGTTTCCCCACATACAGGATTAAATTTGATTGGAAAGTGAGGCAATGTAATGACATTTAACATCATAATTCAGACCAAAATTAAAAACTTCTCGTATATGTTTGTGTGTGTGTGTGATTTGAGACGCGTAGTCTCGCATTTTCTAAGTGAACGTTTCGGCACAAGAAATAGTTGTTACGATGTTAAATAAATTATTACACATTGTATACCAATGTAAGTATTCCTTGTATACTGTTGGCATTTCTGTGCCTCAGTGCCTGATCATGGTAAACTTTGGTTGGCAAGCATGATCCATTCATTGTCTTACAATTGCCAAACATGACTTTGCCATGGTCTTTCTGCAGAGAGAATAATTGACAGTGTTTTGGCAATGCATGGGTTTGAAAATTGTGCAAGCATATTTCTGCAAAACTATATTTTATTGCATCGTTTTTAAAGGAATTGAATTTACAGGTTCAATGATTTAAAAAAAGAATATTTATGTTGGACAGCAAATTTTAAACCCTGTGGGATACAACTGGGGTGCCAGAAACTAAAAAGTGAAGCAAAATTTAGAATGTATTGCATTATACCATCACCTGAGGATTACATCATCACCTATTATCATTCTTGCTTTGATTGTCTTACAGGACCTTCCAGACGACGAGAAAAATTTGTACAAAAATTTAGCTAAGGAACAAGGCACTGGATCGAGAGGTAATCCTCAGAGAGAAAGATTAAATAGAAGGGATAACACTGGAGAATTGATTGAGGTATCCATCAAAGTTTTTTTCAGCACACAGTATAAATTCTAAGAAATCATGAGGAATTTTAAAAAGTAACTTTTTAAAATTCAAATTTAAAGATGTTTCCAACATACTGAAGACTGATAATGGTTTCATAAAAGTGGTTCAAATTTTGTTGATTACTATCTTCTTTAATCATTCATTAGTCAAAACAAGTACAATCCTTTTATTCATTAAGTCCAAATATTGTAAAATGTAGTGTTCATTAACTTGTGTGTGAATGATCAGGCTTTGGTCATTTAAAACCTCTGGCAGCTTAAGGGATGTGGCCTGGGACAGAAACATCTTGAAGAGCTCTTTAAGATTTTTTTCTTAAGTCAGGGGCTTGAGGCTGTTGTTCACCTGGACACCCTAAAACTGCCAGTGATCAAAACCCCGAATCATCCTCCAGAACAAAAACATTTCCTTAACTATTATAGCAAAATAAACTGTTTCTCAACTCTTTTTGGCTCAATTACCTTTACAGTAATCACTGTTGATCCTTTGATAAGAAGTTTGTAAGTTTGTGCAGTTAATTGATTTTATCTGTGTTAGAAGTCTAAAGCTCTTTGGACATTTGTTAAGCCAGTAATACAGACATAAGTGAAAGGATTTTATTGTTTTGCAGAATCGTGTAGACAAAGATGAGGTAAGACGACAGAGGGTTATAAAAGAAAGACTTGAGGTTGTCAGGCAATGGCCTCCAGGTAAAGGTAAGAAATAAAACTTCATTTTCCCTTTCCAGATTGCTGCTTGTCATAAGGTATTTTAAAACAAATAGTGGATTACAAAGAGCTTTTTTGACTATTGTAATATATGTGTTAAGACATTAAGTTAGTTTGGGGGCTCTATTGAAACATTGATTACTAGCTCCCCTGTCATTGCTGTTATGACTGAAAAGTAGATATCTGTGTGTGAGGTCATGCTGCTTGATTTGTGCATCAAATCTCGTAAACCTGAGATAGAGTTCTTCTGAAAGTAGTCAGTATTTTTAAGCAACCATTTAAGTAACGTTTCAGTTCCATTTTTCAATAATATGGTGTGCTGCTGAGTGGTATTGTTCTAGTAAACACCTACCTATTCAGGTCTTTTCGATTGACGCGGGCAATCACTCACGATCGCGTCAGTACTCGCACAAACCAAACCAAACTCGAAAGGTAAATTTCGATAAATAAATCTCATCAATTAACACATTTCTAGTCACCTTTGTGACCCAAGCAAGTGACATAGACAATACAAAGCTGGTGTATCAAAACACAGGAAATATCAGTTATCTTAATTAACCACAACTCAAGGGGAAATATTTGAACAACAGTAGCACTTGTAACATTTTCTGGGCAGTAAAGCGTTTTTAAAAAAAATTTGGAACAACATTTTGAGATCATCCAGCAATGACGTCTATATGACCTTCATGATGTATAGATAATGTTTATAAACAAAGCACATTTAAATTGAGTATTCAATCTTTCTTCGAGTGATTAAAGCTCATCGTAATAGGGCCTAATAATTTGTTTTCATTTGATATTACCTACACAAAAGTACCATAAAACAAGATCATACGGTTGTTTTAAACATTACAGAGACTTTTAGAATTGTTCATTATTATTATTATTTCTAGAGCTATTGCTCATGCAAAAGAAATCACTTGAGCACTGGGCCACGCCATTCGTGTGGGCTATTTCTCATGAGAAGGCCTGTGCTTATTCATAGTTAATGTGTCTGTCTGTCAAATGTAGTATGGTATATCAAATTGTTTCCTGGTTGTTTTCCATGTCTGTCATGAATGTTTTTTATCATGTTTTAGCTTAACCTTTCTCTTGGCATGATAGCATAATAGCAACAAAATGTACCAAACAAGGACTATCTTTTACATCATATTTTTGGCTCTTTGGCCATCATGTTGCTTATTGACCAATGATTCATTTCAATTTTTTTGTATTTACAGATGTCATCTATGAAAGATTTTATCTCATCTCCTTCACTATTATGCTGGATCTAAGGCATCTAGATATTGAAGATTTTGAAAAGATAGTTCCATGTGAAGTCAGTTTGGCTGAATATAGTCTAGATCAAGGAATTGAGAGATCAATGCATAAGTTCATCTGTCCAGGTAAATTTGACTAGCTGCTAATTCTTATGGTTATCCTGTGGCCTTGTTAAGCATAGCATACAGTGGCATCGTTACAGGGTGGACTAAGGTGGACATGTCCACCCAAGTTTTTCGAGAAGTTGATTTTCTAATTTCTCAAAATGCGTTGAAAATTCTCTACCGGGCTTACCAGATCGATTTCAATTTTCCAAGAGCCGTATCCCACTATTTCCAAGAGTCTGAAGGGCATGGTTGAGAATTATTTTGTCCACACTAGTCTTTTTGGGCTGGCAATGCCACTGATAACATTTAAGATGCACTTAAGCCAACTGAACCAAACCATACACATCTTCACACATTTGACATAAGACACATGCATTTCAGTCTTTTCTTGTGCTGAAACTCATCAAAGCAAGTTTTCAGGCAATCTACAATAAAGCTCTTGGTTTATTTAAAACCTTCAGTTTTTTCCAAACCCTATCAAAACCTTCTTTCTTCATATTTTTGGTTGAATGAAGTTTATGGTTTAAGTTTTCAGGTTAGCTCTTGATGATTTTTTATTGCTTGAAATTTGATAAATTTTTATACAATCTCTTCACTAATAGCATTTCAAATTTTCTGTTTCAGGTAATCTGCGTTTGGGTTTCAGAGCAACAGCCATGAGTAAAAGTATGTCTTGTGTTACTTGCTGCATTATTGTTTGTCCTTACAATGATAATTATTTGCATTTTAATTTTGACCCGATAACTCAGTAGAGCACTTGACGTACAAAGTCAGGGGTCATGAGTTCGAGCCTCGCTCGGGTCGGTTATTTTCCAGCACTATCTATTAGTTATCTTTAAAATCCTGTTGTCTTTACACATTTTAATTTTAATGATAGTTATATTGCTCTCATGATAATTGTCATCATCATCATGACAACCTTCATTGTCAAAATCGATATCATTGTCATGACAAATATCATCATGGTAATCTTTATCACCATTGTAATAAATCTTACCCATTACCTATCAGTCAATAAATCAATCAATCATTACATTACAGTACAATCAATCAATCAATCAATCAATCAATCAATCAATCAATCAATCAATCAATCAATCAATCAATCAATCAATCAATCAATCACAACAATCAATCACAACAATCATTCAATCAGCAAATCAATCAATGAATCAAACATCATCGTAAACATAATCATCATCTTCATCAAATATAAATCTACAGTTGGTATGGGAGTTAACCTTTTTAAATTTGTATTACCTCAAGGTGAGAATACTCACAAGATACCAGTGGAGGGACTGGCAAACGAGGACGACACATACAGTAGAATTTATGAAGAGCTGTGTTGCTTTGTGAGGATTGGCAGAAAGGTCATGCCCCCAGTTTTTTGCAAGGTGATTCATTTCTTTCCATATTATGATCAAGAAATGATTTTCTACTTAAGTAAAATTGACAGTTTGACAGCATTGAAAAACGAATTTTTCATTTTTTCATCTCTTCTATGTCTAATTATTCAGAGTAGTTATAATAGCCCAGAAACTGGTACAATATCTGAAAATCAATAAGGAGATGTCACAATAGAATTAGCAGGATGGTACAGAGGAAATATCTTTTTATTTCAGAGGACGAAAATCTATACTACTATGTAAATAGAACTTGTCACGAAAGTGTTAGAATTTTACATGTAGAAATTACCCTTCGATTAATGTAACAGCACTTTCACTCAAAAACATGTTCCACGGTTTTACAAATGATAATATCGATTTTATCTGTTTTTCATACGAATGTAAAACCCTGCGCTCTAAATCAGGGAGGGTCATAAACTTTTACAGATACGTAATAAACCCAATTGAGGAATAGGTAGGTTTGAAAACCTTTAAGCATTTCAGATAAACGTAATAATATGTCTATTGAAGAGAATGCTTGTATTAAGGGGAGGTGAATATTTCGTAAAGACCATAACCTTCTCGATTAGAAAAGTAAAATACGAGCTAAGAAAATTGTTTTAACCTCATCTGAAGTTTCGTTTTTAGAAAGCTTTACTTATATGGGATTTATTCAAATTTCTTTCAGGCAACAGAGGTGGAGCAAACCGAGCTTGCATTGAAATGGCTTGCTTATAACTCTGGTACCGTTTTAATTTCAATATTTACCATCTATAGAAGGGCCACCTTGCATTTTTGGCCCTCGAAATCTTAGGAATGATTCGATAGCTAATCGTTCAAGTTTACACGAATCGCTCGATCTTTTTAGAAAACTAATATAAAATGCCAACAGTTAAGTTTTCTTCCTGCCATTCAAGTTTTGGAGAATCTGCTGATTCGGTTCTGTCTAGTGAAATCGTGAAACCGGGCTTTCAATGTGCGTCAAATCTATTGCACCCAGTGGCGGCTCGTGACTTTCACAGTTGGGAGGGCAGACCATCAATATTGTGATAATCGATAGAAAGGTCGAGTTTGCAAATTTTTCACTGTATTCATGGTTCGATGTTGATCGTCATGGAGCGCAGAAGAAAAAGCATATATAGATGTGGTTGTTGTTTAGCGATGATGTCATTTTATGGGCAAAATTTTTCTTGCCCCGAATTCCTCCAAATAAGCCAATCACAGGCCACGTTTCGTAATGCTCGAGGTCGAAAATTAGCTTGTACGCATGTCGGCTAGGGGCAAAAAAAACTTTGCCCGTAAAATGACATCATCGCTCAAGGCACTAGCGGGCCAGAAGCGAGGCTAAGGATGAGACGGGATAGCAAGGAGCTTTTTCTAGAAGAGATACAAACTTATATAATTAACCACAGTAAGACTATCTTCAAAATTAAATATGAATATCATAGATTTCCTTTGAATCTTTTTGAGGGGGCATTGCCCCAGATGCCCATTAGCAAGAGCCGCCACTGATTGCACCTAAAAGTGGCTAGCCGGCAACTCGCTTCTTTAGGAGCAATAGTTTTCCTAACGATACGCGTCAATTTTTCAATGGACTGTTCTTGCCATTTATTTTCTTGTTTTTAATGCAGAGAGCACGTGCCACATTTCTAAGTTGCAGTCCTATTAAGGCTTACTTAGGTTATCAACATTTCATGGCAAAGAGGGAAAATTATTTACATCCAGCGTGGACGAATACACCTATTCGACTAAAGGCCTCGTTTTGAAAATTTCTCCTAACCTAATTATACGACTTTCTAAAGCTCAAATTTAGTTTCATCACCATAATTTTAGGCCGGATACAATTTTTTCATATTGTTTGTGCTTGTATTTTAGATTTTACGGAGAAATGAAGTTTGAAAACTTGTAAGGGATTTGACCGCAAAAAATCATTCAGGGGAAAACTTTACCCCCCTAGTCGCCAATCACGGTCAAATCCCTTATAAAATTTTTATCTTTTTGTCGTCATAAAATCAATACCGCGAGCAATACCATAATAAAAACTTCCAAGTATACTAAAATCATTGCTCGCAATCCGAATCTGAAGTCAAAAATTTTGTACAAAGTAATTTGAAAATTTTTTAAAAATGAGGCCGTAAGTCGAATTGGTCTATTGGATAGGCAATTGAAGCCTTAGCAGAAAATGTGGTGAGCAGCCCCATAGACGTAGAAACCAGGGGGCACAGGGGGGGATAGGGGAACAGGGGGCACTTGATCCCCAATTTTTAGAAAATTGGTAAAGTATATACCTGCAGCCTACAGAGGTGCCTCTTTTTTGGCTACATGTGCCCCCTACCTTTTAAATGCTACCTACGTCTATGAACAGCCCTCTTTCGTCCCGTAGAAGAAAAGAAGTTGCAGATAACGAATAGCTTTTTGGAAACTCAAGTTTTTTCCCTGGTTTCGTTTGTAGGGAAGCAGCCAATGCTGAAGAAGGTTTGTGAACTAGAAGGGCTGCTGATTGATTTGGGAATGCACCTCAGTGGTCAGAAACAAGACTTGAGTGAAGGAGAAAAGTCAAAAGCTACATCGCATCTCACGAAAAGCGTTTTTGATTACGAAAGAGGGACAAGGTAGTGATATCATCGATACTTTTAATTCATAAATTTTAATTTCGCAGTAATGAACCCTCGATAAAATGATGCAAAAGACCCATTTTGGACAGATTATTATATCAAGAGAAAGATAAAGCAATTTTTGCTTGGCTAGAGCAAACATTTCCATCTATTTAGGTCTGATAGGACTATGTGGCGCAAATTTTTGTGCGCATATGTATCTTTATCGAATATTCAAATTTTTCAGTTTTTCAAGCCTTTTCTAGAAAGTTTAGCAAAAGGAAAATCCTCTTAAGCACATTTTGTCCCAAAGGGAACACGTTGAATGCAGAACAATAAGCAATTGTCGCAGTGTAAAGATTTCAGTGAAGTACACATTTTGAGAAAAGACAGCTATGGTGCTAAAGTTACAAAGCTTTCAATTTAACTATGATTTGTAAACGAAATATTGGGGCACCGTTTGAATGTAATGTGCTACGTAAGATTGGTTCACTTGTTGCATACTTTATACACCGAACTCAATGAAGCTATCAAAAATATCAGATTGCCAACTTATTTTACCCGACATGCAATATGCCTTTGATTCTCGACTAATTATTTCAATTTAGATGCGCCCATCACGAAGAAGTTGATTCCAAATATTGCAGTCTGGGAATTGTGAAAAAGTGGTGGTGAGTTTTTGAGAACCTTCCATTTTTATTGGTTTATCTTACTCTACACACCGAAGCATGCCCTAACCCAAATCCTAATTTTATCCCTAACCCTAGACCTAAGCCAAACCCTAACCATAATCCTTACTCTAACCCTAACCTTAACACTAACCCTATCACTAACACTAACCCTAACACTAACCCTAACACTAACCCTAACCCTAGCCTTAACCCTAACCCTTGATATTGCCACCCTACAGACTTTTGTATAGTAGCCATTTCACGGGTATGGAAGAGTGTATTCCAAATACTTTCCGTACCTTCATAGGGATTATTCAATGTTTCATTCATAGAATATTAAAACACATCCTTGACGCATTTTGAACGAAATGATAAATCTAAAATTCTATATCATTTACGTCTTTGGACCAGGTTTTGTATTAAAGGGGTCCTTAGTTTTTTCTGCATATTGATATTTTGTTATTTATTGTAATTAAGCTTAAATCTTCATCTGAGTTGAATTTAATCTAATTTGATTATTTTGCTTTCTGTGTAAACCAGATTAATATTCATAAGTTGTGCTCTGTAGTAGTAGAGAGTATCTTTGGTGGTCTTAAAAGTGCTGCTCCACTTCTGCATATGCAGTCGCGCCAATCATCTTGTTTGTTTGTAATACGAAATACATAAATTTGCACTCGCAGCTACCTGTTGTCAGACTTTCTGCTTGACAAGGCGGGCATCGATGCAACCCCAAACCATTTGCCAGTAATGCAAGATGAAGAAAGTGCCGTTGCCAGTGTTAGAAGAGCTTTTTCAGGCGCCTCGATTTCTAGAAACTCTGAGCCAGTACGAAATCAGCATAGCCAGCAGCCACAACAACATCAACAAAGAAATCCTTATCAACAGCTGCCGCAGCAGCAACAACAAAACTCTTTTGAGATTGAAAGAAGTAAGTTAACCCCATCTAGAGAGGTTATAATATTTTCACTTTTATTTACTTGAACCTCCAGCTAATCAAACGGCTGTAGACTTATGGATATGCATAAAATTTAGACCTTATTTCTTTTCCTATGCTACAAATTCTCATTGACTTTCTTGTGTATCTGAAGGAAACGCAATCGAGGAAGCGAGAAATATTTCTGAAAACAATACGTCCAAACAGCCAATCATTGGTCGAGGGCGCGGTTTGGCGCAAGCTTTGGTCCAGCAGAGAAGGCCAGGAGAACGGCCGCAAGAGCCAAAGAAATTAGCTGTAGGTCGAGGCAGAGCAAGTGTTGTGGATATTGCACTGTCTACATCTCGCCACAGTGCCTCCAATGGTGGGAGATCTTCGCAACGCACACCTTATGAAGGTTAGTTAATAACTCAGTTTGTTTTCTCTTGTTGCTATAAATTGATGCTGGGTGCTGTTTTCTGTTTATGTGCGAACAATTTTGTCGTGAGCAGAAGTTTTTGTCTTCAATTGCATATCCTTTTTGACATTTATCAAACATTTAAATACCCAAACACTTGATATAAACCGAACTACAGAATCGATCCAAACGGCAGCGGACCTATTATAAATCAGCAATAATTCATTTACAAAGAATGAACGATTGACTCTTGAATGCTACGTTTTTTGTGCGTAGAGACATAAAGTAAATTATTTAATACCTGGAAGAGTGACATTAAATAGAAAAAAATAGAAAAACGGAGTTAAGAAAAAAATCAGAAAGATAAAATAGAAGGTAATTACAAGTGGGTATGCCGGGGAACGGATAATATTTTAAATTTTGCATCAGACTCTGGAAAGGTAATCAATATTTTGAAAAGCAGAAACTTTTTGCATTAACCATTAGCGACACATTTCGATTTTATCGAGCTGCAAGTTACAGTGAGACATTCTCGTGGCTGAGGCTTGGTGTTGGTAAATATTAATCCAAAATAATGCAATGCAAGTACCGCTGATTTTGAATCTATCAGGTATGCAGTTGTAGAAATATACCTCTTCAGTCTAACCCAATGTTGAGAGGACCGGTGTCAATTGCTTGTTTAATCTTGAATTGATATTTTTCACGCAGAGCCTTCCGCTAGGCCCAAGCCTCCAGGAATGGACGATAATAAGCAAAAATTTGCATCGTTTAAATCAGCACCTGCAGCCTCATTTGCACCACCACCTCCATCTGAATGGATGTTTAGCTGAAAATTCAAATGCAATACTTGCGTAAATCTGTTTAATCGAAATTGTTCTGTTTAATCGGGAGAACTGTTCTGTTTGTTCAAGAAATTGTCCTCTCGCTATACCTGCAGCACATGACGTGATATCGAAGCAAACTACTCTTTTAGCAGATCACTGTGCAGGAGTTATTTTGGTTACATTTTGTATTATACAAAAAGTTTGACAAAATGTTTCTGGACCTGAGCACATTGGCGATAAAAGTCACCAAAACTTAAGTCTGCATTTACTATGCTCCGTAAACCTCTTAAAATCTGCCTACGTTGAACTACTTTGCTATACAGAAGTTTCACTGTAGAGAAAAGAGCATTGATGTTAACGCGATGTCAACCATATTGACCTATAAAGCGAAAATCCTTACAAGATATATTAAGCGATACTTTGTTTTTTCTCACCGACCAACCTTTGATTTGAGTTTTCAACTGCAAGTGTTTTACAATATATGCTAGTTAAAAGAATTAAACCTTTTAAGATCCCGTTCACCTTAAGAAATGAATAGCAAATTGGTTTTCATATCTACTCCATCTATTCCGTAATCTACATGAGTCTGAAATAATAATATTTGTGTTCTATGCGCGTGTTCTTTAACTCCATGAAGAGGGAAATGCCTAACCCATGGGATAATTTCCTCTTTCCCTACGTGTCTTGCAGTTGAGATTTTGATAATCAAAATCAATTTAACATTAGCATTTTTATACTTAGGAGTTATGATTTTATGACTTTATTAGAAAACGTTTTGCTTTATTCTGTAAATAATTTATTAGCAGAAGTTTATTGTCGTTTTGTTTTGTTTACTTAAAAAGTTAATGAAGAGAAATAAATTTTGTGTTATCTTTGATTTCATATCCCTTGCAAGTTTCTAAATATACTTTGAAATCAGAGCATCAAAAACAAAGGGCAGAATGACGTTTTTTATCTTCATAGTGCCATCGATGGATGAAGATATTTTTTGATGATAAAATATCTGCTCTGTGAAAATTCAAGAAAGAAAGAATACAAAACGATAGAAACTAACAAATTTCGATGAAACGTTTATCTATCGCAGAAACAGCTGAAGTTTTTGTTCGAAGAAGCAAGCTTCAAGATTTCTTTTTGAGCATTGAGTCACTGCCGTTATCAGTAAAACGTTTTTGTTTGCTGATGGTTTGGTAAAAACTAAAGGGTAAATTTCACCATGGAAATCTTTTGCTGGAGATCTTATTATTATTTTCTGAAAATTACTAGAAATCCCTTTTGGCGTTAATATTGGGGGGGGGGGGGACGTAGAGCTGGGTGTCAGAGATATAAATTGTTAGAGCCGCTCTCAAGCAGATAACGGTCAGTAAAATGACACAGAATAAGACGATGATTAGTTTGATTCTGGTCGAAAAGAGTACTTCTATTTTTGATTATCTTTAAATTTGATTGAAGAAATGGGCCTAATCGTTGCACACCTGTCCATCGGACTGGAATTGTTGTCGCAAATTTGGTACTTTCTTTTGATTCATTAGCAAGACAGTATCATCTATACGATGCTTATTACAGATATCATTAAGGTCATTTTATAAGAATAAATTTGTTTTTCCATTTGGTGAAAGACAGTTATGAAGCGTCCGTATTCTTCTACCAGTCAGACAAAGAGAGAGCGGCGAAAACTTTCGACTTCCACTGCCTCGTTTTAGGAAGACACACCACCGAGAGATATAATGGAAACATTTAATTTTCAATTCAACTTAAAATTCAATTACAAATCTCACTATAACAAGGTTATATGCAATTGGCTAGCCTGGTTTTACAAGGAAAAACTATAACAATCGTAAGGTAAAAGGAAAAACTGAGAAAAAATAAAACAACCAAAGTTAAAAAGGATGTAATTCCGGTTTGTCCATGGCTTATTTTTGCAACAAAATATGTAGTACGTAGTATGGATGGCAATGTTGGAAAGTTTAGAAATGAGATACCGCATTTGTTGCTGATCGATGGAGAGAGAGTCACACATTTTGAAGAATGAATTGCAGGAATTGCCGAAGATGCCAAGAGAGCTCATAGAAAGATTAACAAAGGAGACACATTTGAACTGCCGCTGTAAACCAGATAAGAGAGGAGCATACTTGCTGTGTTTTCTTGTTGCATTTGTGTCAAGATTGGATTCGAAGCCAACAGTTAGCTCTAAAATGTAAAGGTAATTGTTGTTAGTCTTCAAGAGAAGATCTGGGCGAAGGTTTTCTCCAGCTATGATTGATGGCGAAAGAAAGCCAGGTATATCAGCGTAGATGGTAGATCCATTGACAGCTTTTAGTGACGTAGCTAAAAAGTTTAGGATAGAGTTATGTCGCCAGGTGTATCGGCCTTGTTCCAGATATGTTTTGCAGCCAGCAACAACGTGAAGGAGGGTTTCTGGCAGAAAACAGAAAGAACAGTCAGAGGTCTGGCTCAAGTTTCATTTTTTAGGTTTTTCTGTGTGGCAAGGGTATTGTTCAGATACCTTATGGTGAAATTGAAAATATTCTGAGGCATGCTACTTTGCACCTTGGACCAAAGTTCTGGGTAAAGAGATGTGATAATAAAGATCCTTGGGAGGTCAGGATGTTTTGCAGACGATCTTTTTGCTCATGCTGGACAGCCCTTAATGCTTCTTTGGTGTTCCTATATATATCATATTGTATATTTGTGCTACTGCTGGTGTTTTTCCATAAAGAGCGACTGTTATCGTTTGGCGAGGATTTCAATGCGTTGCGTAAAACTGTTTGACACTGTAGAAATTTGGTGGATGGTAAAGTTAAGCTGAGTCCAAACTGATTTGTAGAAAGAATAATGCTACTCAAGGTAGCACTTATTGGGAGGTCGAGCCACTGGCGGATGTATTTGGATACGAGGTTGTCAAGATTCTCGACAACCAACATAATAATGGAAACTTTTCATTTTGAATTCCAGTTGAAACTACAATCACAAATCTCACTATTACAAAGTAATTTGTAACTGGCTAGCCTGTTTTTACAAAATAAAACTATTAAAATCGTAGTAATGAGAAAAGAAAAAAAAAATTTAAAAGGGGAGTAGCTCTGGATTAGTCCAAGTTTTGTTTCTACAGCAGAATATATAGTATAATAATAATAATAATAATAATAATAATAATAATAATAATAGTAATAATTTTAATTTTGTTTAAAACATCTCATTTTCATTGAATACATTTTAAATTTACAATTATACGACTCGCTTTTACAGGCATCATATAATTGGCTTATCTGCATTACAATATTTAAAAGTCAATTAGTTCGGGGCTTAGCCATGGTTTGTTCCTACAGCAAAAAATGATAATGATAATAATGGAAACATTTCATTTTCAATTCAACTTAAACTACAATTACAAATCTCACTATTACAAGGTAATTTGCAATTGGCTAGCCTGGTTTTACAAGAAAAAAACTATAACAATCGTAAGGTAAAAGGAAAAACTGAGAAAAATAAAACAACCAAAATTAAAACGGATGTAATTCCGGATTTGTCCATGGTTTATTTTTGCAACAAAATATGTAGTACGTAGTACGAATGGCAATGTTGGAAAGTTTAGAGATGAGATACCGTTTTTGTTGTTGATCGATGGAGAGAGAGTCACACATTTTGAAGAAAGAGATGCAGGAATTGCCAAAGATGCCAAGAGAGCTCATAGAAAGATTCACAAAAGAGACACATTTGAACTTTCGCTGTAAGTCAGATAGGAGAGGAGCATACTTGCTGTGTTTTCTTGTTGCATTTGTGTTAAGATTGGATTCAAAACCAACAGTAAGCTCTAAGATGTATAGGTAATTGTTGTTAGTCTTCAAGAGAAGATCTGGGCGAAGGTTTTCTGCAGTTATGATTGATGGTGAAAGATAGCCAGGTATATCAGCGTAGATGGTAGATTCATTAACAGCTTTAAGAGACGTAGCTAGAAAGTTTAAGATAGAGTTATGACGCCAGGTGTATCGGCCTTGTTCCAAGTATGTTTTGCAGCCAGCAACAACGTGAAGGAGGGTTTCTGGCAGAAAACAGAAAAAACAATCAGAAGTCTGGCTCAAGTTCCACTTTTTCAAGTTTTTCTGTGTAGCAAGGGTATTGTTCAGGTACCTTATGGTGAAATTGAAAATATTCTGAGGCATGCTACTTTGCACCTTGGACCAAAGTTTGTTTATTTGTGGAAGATCCTGGTTAAAAAGATGTGACAATAAAGATCCTTGGGAAGTTAGAATGTTTTGCAGACGATCTTTATGTTCTTGCTGGACAGCCTTTAATGCTTCTTTCGTGTTCCTATATATATCATATTGTATATTTGTGCTACTGCTGGTATTTTTCCATAAAGAGCGAATGTTATCGTTTGGTGAAGATTTCAATGCGTTTCGTAAAATAGTTTGACACTGTAGGAATTTGGCGGATGGTAAAGTTAGGCTGAGTCCAAACTGGTTTTTAGAAAGAATAATGCTACTCAAGGTAGCACTTATTGGGAGGTCGAGCCACTGGCGGATGTATTTGGATACAAGGTTGTCAAGATTCTCGACAACCCACGTCTTTGAAAGATCTGCTACAGTAAGGTTCCAAGAGATTTTAGAAAGAACAAAGTTGTGATAAAGAAGCAACTTATTTTTTGCATGTAGAGGCTGGGAATCAATTTGTTTGAGCATGTTGGACAGTGATGATAAAAGATCAGATTTATGTTCTTGGTTTGTCATTTCAAAGTCAAAATGACGACCGAGGTACTTAAAAGAATTTCCATTCGAGACAGGTGGGATAGATTCGTTGTTTATGAAAAGCTTAGGTTGATACTGAAGAGAACGTGTGGAAAATTTCTTTATTCCAAAAGTGATGCATTTATCGACACGTATGATCATGTTAGCCCATTGGCACCAGCGAGTGAAACAATTCAGTAGAAGTTGGTTTTCTTTCTCATTGCTGGTGATAACGGCAGCATCGTCTGCGAATTGAAACCAATGGACTGGTTGAAACATACGGTCGTTCTGATCATGTGGGGAGAAACCTAACTGTTTGTATTTTTCAGCTTTTATGTACTGTATGAATGTGTTGAAGCCAGTGGCGTAGCTAGCCAAATAGCAGTGGTCATGCCCTTCCCTCAAATTTGAAAAAATATGGGTGTGGCCAAATTTTACCACGCCCAATTTTTTAGTTGATGAATTCCTTTTGGAAATTTTAATTTTAAGGCTTGTGACTGATAAAAAAAATTGTGATTAACTTTTGGAATGAGCTTTTCTTATTTCATAGCAATCATCTTGTTACACCATGAAATGACCTTTATCTTATAGCTGTGACACTGTTTTGGTTTGTTGGTAATTTATACAGACAGAGTTCTGACAATTTCCAAACAGAACTATACAAAAGACATTAAAAAAACATTAGTTTAGTATAGTAGATAAACTAAGCTTAAATTAAAAATTGTTTTGTTCTCCTAATTTCTTTCAATTTGCAGGCTGAAATACATTTGTAAATTTTAGAGATAAGCTAAAATTTTTATATGAAACAATAAATCACATGAAATTGAATGGGAGCTTTTTGGTCATCTTTTCCACAAATAGTCTTATTATCAATCTGTTGAAGGTATTATAAAGCCATCATGATTAACTAACAACCCCAATAGAATTGATAGATGAATAAAACAAATTTGCAAAAGAATATCCAATGTAAATATTTATATGAAATATAGGAAGCTAAAATAATGGATAGGCCTAGTTCAAAATGTTTTCTGCAAAGTTAGACTTAATAGAAAAATACCTTGCAAAATAAGTTTAGCTTAACAAAAACATTGATGTTTCCACATATACTTGTGGTAAACATCCACATGATTGGGTTGTCCTTACTAAATCTAGCAAACAAGGGTTGTAGATGAATAATTTGATCTTGTAAATTTTCAAATACATCAAAAGTTGTAATAGTGAAATAAAACTGTTAAACTAACAAGATCAGTAACATGCTTGACTTGTCTCTGGTCATTTTATTTCAACAGCTATAAGTAGTAAAAAGTACTTTCAACTAAAAGTGAAGTCAGTAGAGCTTTGAGTTTGACTTTAATTGTGTGTAAAAACAGTGTTATTGCATGTGATAATAAACAAAAAATTGAAGAATAACTTTAAGCAAGTTCTGGCATTCCCTATCCATTAACTACAATCTTATTGTCCTAATCATAATATGGTAATAATGCTTTTAAAGGGCTTAACAGTTTTTGAATATGCTGCTAAATGTCTGGAAAGTTTAAGCTCTCAAATCTGTTGGTTTGGAGAATAACACTGCTATCTCCTCCATCCATCTCCAGTGAACAGCATCAAGATTTGGCATTCATTAAATCAAGAAGATTCTCTGCAAATGTTCAACTAGTAACAATTGATTACTGAAAAGGCTGAGAGTTTGGTTTGGTTGCATAAAATGATCCTGCTCGCTGATTTTATGTCCAAAAATGGCCTTTCGTGCCTGTAACTTCTCCACATAGTGCAACACCATTAAGGCTGAAAAACCCTGTCGTTGCCATAAAATGTTCTGGAGATTAACATGAGTCGTGGCTGCTTGGCAATAAGCTTTTGCTTGCATTTTACTTACAGAGAATTACCTCCCAGCTCGTGGATCTAGGCATAGCAGCGATGCCTCGCATTCGCGTTCACGAAATAACACAGGGCGGTTTTGATGATTATAATGATGGTCATGCCCTCTCGAAATGGCATGACTTGCCTTTGTTCTCTCCTGCGTCACTCCTATTGTTAGGCATGACCAAACATAGGGAACCAGCGTTATGGGCATGACTAAAACACAGGGTTTGGTCATGCTCATAGTTATGGGCATGACTAAATTGGAAACCCTCTGTTCTAGTCATGCCCGACAATAGAAGAGCGCCTTCGGAGGGCTCCATATTCTTGGGTGGAACCATAGGGCTCCAAAGGCGAATGGCCTGAGCTATTTCATCAGGAGAATAGGACTTTATTCTTACGAAAATATAATTTTTTGAAAAATGTTAACTCTGAAAATAGATGGTCATGCCCGGCATGACAAGCATGACCGCTAGCTACGCCACTGGTTGAAGCATAGATTAAATAGTAGAGGACTGAGGCAGTCGCCTTGAAGAACACCGCGACGGACTGGAATAGCAGGAGTATTATAGTGGCTTGTGATGATAGAGGTTTTAAAATCGGTGTAAAGGCTAGAGATAAGAAGTTGTATGTTGTCAGGGATATGATGGTAAGATAGTACAGTGGGTATCAAATTATGATGTACTTCTCCAAATGCATTTTTAAGATCGAGAAGAGTGACAACTAGTGAACGTTGCTTGATACGAGCTTTGTTTATGACCTGAGCCATCATGGCAGTATGCTCTAAGGTCCCTGAAATATTCGAGGTGAAGCCTTTTTGTATTTCGTGCTCAATGAGACCATTAACTTTAAGAAAATTAAATAGACTGTCACGCAGGCATGATATGAAGATTTTCAAAGGCACTGGCTCAAGAGTGATTGGCCTGAAGTTTGCTGGATCGTCATTGCTACCCTTTTTGTGAATTAGGATAGTGCATGCCTTTTTCCACTCTAAAGGAACTTTTCCAGAGAGCCAGATATTATGAATGATATTTGTTATCAAAGAGCGTAAATATGGACATCGTTTAAAAACAATGATGGAAATTTTGTCACTTTAATAATAATAATAATAATAATAATAATAATAATAATAATAATAATTATAATAATGATAAAGGCATTTATATTGCGCCATTAATCCACGCGGCTCAAAGGCGCATTACATAATGTTAATAAAACTAATAGAGTGATAAAATATACAGTACTATAAAGAACGGTAAAAAATGTTCGTAAAATTTTCGTAAAATAAATAAAATCTAATTAAAATATTCTTGAAAAAGATGCGTTTTCAGTCTGCTCTAAAAAGCGTCAAAAGAATCCACTGCTCGCAACGTGTATGGCAGTCTGTTCCAAAGTAAAGGGGAGGCACCTGTAAATCACGATCTCCAGCGGTCACTAGCTTTGTCCTTGATGTTTCAAGAGTCAAGTCATCATCAGCAGATCTAGTCTGTCGCGCTGCTGTTCATAACGTGACCAACTCAGTAAGATACACTGGTGCAAGGTTATTGATGCATTTGTAAGTCAACATTAAGATCGTATATTTTATCCTGCGCAATACTGGCAACCAATGAAGCTGTTTTAACACTGGGGTCATGTGACTGTCTCTCTTCGCACGGGTCAAAATCCTGGCGGCAGTATTCTGAATTTTTTGCAACTTTTTTAACTTGCACATTGGCAAACCATATAAAAGAGAATTTTTGCAATCTAGCCGAGATGTGACAAAAGCATGGATGGCTTTTTCAGCAGCTTCTTTAGTGAGATACTTCCGAGCTAGGCGGATATTATGCAAGTAGTACCTAGCTGAGCTGTACAAAGAGTTTAAATATGACTTAAGTGACAAATTAGCATCGAAGACTACACAAGAGTTCGTGCTTTTTCACTTGGTTTAATTGTACTTTTTCTAATAATGACACACAGGTGACAGTTTTGCACATTGTTTTTGCGTTCCAATCACCAATAAGTCAGTCTTGTCTCCGCTTAGCTTGGGACTGAATTTCTTGAATACACCCTTCGATTTGCTGTATTGAGAGAGCTGCACATTCTGGAGTTGGTGAAAATGACATATAGAGTTGCGTATCGTCAGCATAGAGGTGGAACTTCATGCCTCTTTTCCTAACAATGTCTCTTAAGGGCAGCGTGTATACGAGAAAAAGTAATGGCCCAGCACTGATCCTTGTGGAACACCACAAGGTAGAGATATCTCCTTTGATTTTTCATCTTTAACTTTAACCATTTGGAAACATGTTCTAGATATGAAACAAACCATTTCAAAGCTGCCTCTTGAATTCCGCGTGGCCCCCCACTTTTCTGTAGTATGATTCTGTAGTATGATTGTAATAAAATGTAGTATGATTCTGTAAGTAATGAGTAATGAGTAGTATGATCTGTAAGTAGATTATAATCAAATAAATGTAGTATGATGCTGTAAGTTGCCTGGTATTCTCTTATATGTGTC